GGGGCAACGGGCACAAACTGAAGCAGAGGAAGCTCCAGCTGAACCCGAGGAAGAACTTCTTCCCTCTGAGGGTGACGGAGCCCTGGCCCAGGCTGCCCAGGGAGGCTGTGGAGTCTCCTTCTCTGGAGATATTCCAGCCCCGCCTGGCCGCGGTGCTGTGCAGCCTGCTCTGGGTGACCCACAGAGGGCCCTGCCAACCCCCACCATGCTGGGATTCTGTGTAAAACACGCACTACGTGGTGGGAAGGAGCAAACCATGGGGGTTTCAGCATCCATCTTGCTCCTCTCATAGGCGGAGATGGCAGCACGGCTCGGCCATCCCGGGGACCAACCAGCCAATCCCCGAGTTTAGCCGGGGAGCCCTGAGCGAGCAGCGCTTCAGAAGGTACCGCCATGGGGGGATTTTGGGGGGAGGTCTTTAAGGCCCCGCTTTGTGCTTCTTGTCCTGCATGGCACCTCCAGAGCCCTTTCTTTGGGGGGGAAAACCCTGTGCCCAGCCCAGCTCCTTTCCTCGGGGGACAGGGGTGGGCTCCCAGTGCCATGCCCCACTCCTCTCGCCCAGGTGCTCGCCGACCTGAAGGGCCGGACGGAATCCATCCCGTGCGTCATCGGGGGAGAGGAGGTGTGGACGCCAGCGGTGCGGTACCAGCTGTCGGTGAGTCTGGGGGAAAAAACACTGATTTTAACAAGTGGAAATGGAGCGGAGGGCTGCACCCAGCCGGAGGGAGGTCTGCTACTCTGATCCCTACAGCAGCTTTTTTTCTCTTTTCAGCCATTCAACCATGCGCACAAGGTGGCCAAGTACTGCTACGCCGACAAGGTGAGCGCGCCTCGCTGCTCTCCCTCTTCCTTTCGTGTTTTTTGGGGGTAATCAGCAGTGTTTCGCTGGGGTTTAGCGAGCCTTTATCTCGCGGCATGATGCATGTTGAGATCGCTGCTCAGAAGTCGGGATGAAACACAAATGGCTGCTCAGACCACAAGCAGGGAGGCTCCGGGGCCAGGTATTGGCTTTCCAAGTCCCGGGGGTCCCGGAACAAAGTGACACCAGGAGCTGCGGATTTGGGGTTGTGACGGGGAGGTGGCTGCTGTGGTCTGTGTGCGGGGATGGATGGCCACTCGCCGTCCCCTCCAGCCTGGTGATGGAGAGGTAGTGGGTTTCTCCTTGCTGCCTTTCCCCTTCCCTTCTGCAGGAGCTCATTAACAAAGCCATTAATGCTGCCTTGGCAGCAAGGAAGGAGTGGGACCTGAAACCTGTCCAAGACAGAGCCCAGATCTTCCTGAGGGCGGCTGACATGCTGAGCGGCCCGAGGAGAGCGGAGGTGCTGGCCAAAACCATGGTCGGGCAGGTAAGGGGACGCGGGATTGCGCCGGCCGGTGGCAGGGGTGAACGGGAGGGAATCGTTCTATGATTCTATGAATTTGGGGAGCCGGGGAAGTGGGGCAGGAAGAGCTGCTGAGGTATTCTGTGGCGGTGGGGATGTCTGTGGCGTTAGGGGTGCCTGTACCGCGCAGGGATACAGACTGATCCTTGCCTCTTTGCTGAGGAAGAAGGGAGGTGAAGCGGGAGCCAAGCTTCACGGGAACAGGACCGACTGACGCGGTGGGCTGCGATGAGCAGGGTTTGTCCCCGCGCAGTTCCCCAGCAGCCCTGCCCTTCCTAGGCCCTGAAGGGCCGTGGGGGAACGTGGGTAGACGTGACATCCCCCAGTGCCGGCACAGAGGAGCCGCGGTGGGCTGGGGGCTTGCGGCAGGCCCCCTCTTTCAGAAGTGAACGCGTGGTCTGCAAGAGAGGGGCAACCCCCAAACGGTGCCTGGGTGCACGGTGCCGCACCGCTGCGGCTGATGGCTGCCGCATCTCACCCCCCGCCCTCCCCTCGCCGCTTTTATTTGATGCGACCTGTCCCGGCAGGGTAAAACAGTCATCCAGGCGGAGATCGATGCTGCTGCGGAGCTGATCGACTTCTTCCGATTCAATGCCAAGTACGCCCTGGAGCTGGAGAGCAGCCAGCCCGTCAGCGTCGACGTCAGCACCAACAGCATGGTCTACCGGGGGCTGGAGGTGAGAGGCTGTCCCCCTGCTTCTGGAGCTCCCTTTTTTGCCCTGAACCATGGTGAGAGGCGGCACC